TTTTTTAGGTTGGTGAGAGAGGAGGGGGGCGACTAATCACCTTCTCCCCCCTGCCTCCATTGTGGCCTCATATCAGTTGCACAAACAATCGACGCATACCCAGAGGTCTGGTGCCTTTTCCATTTTGTAAATACTAAAGGTGTGTGTTCGATTTAAGGTTTAAACATTTCTCCTCTTCACTTGGCCTCACTCGTTTTGGGAGAAATGTATCGCTGTAGCACATATTTCTACTAGCTCACTTTTGTTTTTTTTTGTGTGGAGGGTATCTGTACCCGGGTTATCCCCAAGGGCTACATAACCACAAATACCAGCTCCACCGCGCTTAACCGCGCGGCCTCACCTCCCGTCAGTCATACACCATTTCCCACCACACCACTCCTCCCCGAACTCCTGCGACGTTTCCATCCAACCAGTGGCCGCTCCCGATCGCTCCCCAAAGCACGCCTCACTGACCCTGTGCCCTAAGCCACCGCGATCCCACCCGCCCCGTGACGCCCTTGCCACCATGAGTGGTGCCGGAAACGACTTGGGGATGTTCCAACACCCCCGGTTCGGTAAAAAGGAAGAACCCGACGACCTGGAGCGCCTGGTCCTGCCCTGCGAAGTCGACCCTAATGCTCCCCAGCCGTTCGAACCAAAGCTAGCCGCCGCCACCGCCGCCCAAATCGTTCAGGTCCCGAGCACTACCGACGACGAGCAGGATTTGCGGACGGCGCTGTCGAATAACCCGACGATGATCATGGAGCTCGACATGGACGGCAATGTCCGCTACTTGCTGAGTAATTGGAACAAGATCGTCGGCACCAAGTCGAAAAAGATTGTCGGCAAGCCCATCGCCAATATCATCGTCGCCAACACCCCGGAGGACCTGACGGTGTTTCAGGATGCCATAGCCAAGATGATCGCCGACGACTGCAGCTATAAAGTGAAGTTCGTCACCGCTACCGGCGACGGCGACGCCAACGACGAGAGCACTACCAGCTCGCAACACGGCGAGGGCGAAGGCGACGACGATGACGACACTGAGATCGCCAGCGTCTCACAGCAGTTGGCGATGAAACTGCCGTCGCCACCGCTGCTGCCGTCACCCCAGCCGCCGCTGCCGTCGATGCTGCTGATCCTGCTGAAGCTTCTGAACGACGGTGATATCATTGAGCTTGAAGCTCAAGGGATCCTCATGCGCACGGGCAAAGACGACTACCTGATGTGGACGGTAAAGCCAGTGGTGTTGTATAATGTTGACTTGGCCATTCCTCAACCGCTTATCGATATTCTCGGGGCGGGACTGGAACTCTTTGAAGGCTACTTAGTCCAGCTCCGCGAGCTTGGCGTCGCCAACGAAGAGACTATCCCCCCTCCTAAAACCGTACTTTGCCGCATCTGTGAAAATGAGATCCCCGCATGGTTTATCGAGCGCCATCTGGACCTCTGTGTTGTCGAACACCGTGCCGACGACGATATTCAGGAAGCCCACGACGCGTTATGCGAACAGCGCCACCTCATCTTGGCAATCACCGACCTGCTCGCCCACGGCTTGCTGCTGCTGCCGCTGCCGCTAGCCCTGCTGGAGCTGATAGCGTCGGCACTGCTGCTGCTGCTGCTGACACTGTCATTCGAACTCATCCAGGAATACAAAGGTATCCCCCTTCCTTCCGTACCCCGTACTCCGGGAACAGTACAAACGCTGCTGCCGCTACGACCGCTTACTCACCAACGACTGCGATCGCAACTTATTGGCCTTAAAAAGTTCCCCTTTGGTCTCTTAGCTCGCCTCGTCGATATCTGCGAAGAAGCGATCCAAATCAACCCGCCTCTGACAGCTACCGACGGCGAGATCTCGCTCTCTCCTCCGTCAGAACACCATATGATGGCGGTGGCCCAGGCGACGCCAATGGAGCTGCTGGACCCCGCCATGGTGGCGATGATCGCCGATACTACTGCCATGGTGGCCGAGAAGGTTGCCGCCGTTGAGCGCATGGTGCGAGCCCTTCGTTACCTGGATAGAATCAAGTGTCAGGTGGACGACCTTGTGCTTGAAACCGTCAGCGATACTTTGTCCCAGATTCGCCACCAGTCCCTTGCCCTGGAAGGTGAACTTAGTCGCAAAGTAAGTCACCGCGAGAGCGACCTGCTGGCGCTGAGACTGCGTCAAGGTTCTCAAAAGACGTTAAAAGGACTGCGCCAAGGACTGGTGCTTCTGCGGTCGCTGAGTGTGCCGAGACTGGACTCCGCCGGCAAAGTGTCCACTGTGGCCCACCAAGCCGGTAACGTGACACCGCTGTCGCCAGCACTGTCGCTGCCACTCTCACGCCCTCCACTGGACCGAGAACTGCGAGGCCGCCAGGACCCCTTACCCACGCTGGGGCTCGCCTATTCTCGTGTGTACGAACTGCCGCTGCCTACACAAACAGGACCGATGATTTCCACACCCATTGCCCCAACCCCTAAAGTGGCCAGTGCCCCATTAAACTTTGACCATCACCACGAGCCGACGTCAACACCACAATCAAAGCTCTTACTGGAGTTCGAGTACGCTAAGCTGGTGACTCCTAATGACATCTTGCAACGCCTGCGACCACTGCTGCGCCCCCCACTGCGACCACTGCTGGAACGGCTGCTGGACGCTAACTTGGTACCGCCGCTGAACCTGCTGCTGTTTCTGCTGCCCCGTCGGCGGATGTCGCCCATACCCTATGGAGATAAGACTAATTTGCTGCTGCTTCAACGTTCGGGTCCAGGAGCTCCTGGACTGATGATTGGCGGCTCCGTAGCGACCCCATTGGGATCACCTCATATCGGAGCGTCTCGTGGCGATCTGCTTGACCTGACGCTGAATATTCCACCCTTACCACCTGCTGCCACTAAACGGACGCTGCTGCTGGGTCTGGGTCTGCTGTTGGCAGTAGCATCCACTCTGTTATCTAAGGGTCAGGCCAAACCGCCATTGTCGCCGTTGCTTGTCACCAGTGCTCCCAAAGCAGCACCGTCTCCTGGCGGTATTCGTGACTATACTGTGGTGAAACCGATCTCCAAGGGGGCATTTGGACTGGTATTCTTAGCCAAACGCAAACGGGTAGGCGAATACGTCGCCATTAAGTGTTTGAAGAAAACCGATATGATCGCTAAGAACCAGATTGTCAACGTCAAACTGGAACGGGCGGTGTTGATGAAACAAGCCAATCTGCCCTACGTCACCCAGTTGTATCTGACGTTCCAGCTGAAAGAGTGGCTCTACCTCGTGATGGAATACTTACCCGGTGGTGATTTGGCGAGCCTTGTGAAGAATTTAGGGACTATTGGCGACTGGGCGTGTAATCTTATCGCTCAGATCGTCGTGTGTGTTGACGATCTCCACCGGCGAGACATTATCCACCGTGACTTGAAGCCCGATAATATTTTGATCGATGCCCAGGGCCACCTCAAACTTACTGACTTTGGGCTTTCCCGAATGGGGGTGGTGGGCCGTCAACCTGGTCGCGGCCGACCTCGCACGCAGGACCACCTGCCGCGGCCGTCATCATCGTCAATCTCGTGGCTGCCGGTGGTCGACGCCAGGAACGCCCCTTCGCTGCCGACTTTACTGTATGTCGACCAGTTCGCTCAACAGTTGCCGCCGTTACGGCTGAAAATCAAAGGCGATGGAAGAGCTGACCTTAAGGATACCCCCGCATTGATGCGGACGCTGCTGGAAGCGCTGCTTTCGCTTGTTGAAGACGAGTTCCCCGTGACCACGAACCCACCGACGCTGATCACGCTGTTCACCCTTTACGACCCGCAAAAGGATCACCAAATGTCTCGCTTTGTCGGTACTCCTGATTACTTTGCTCCGGAAACGATTAAAGGTGAAGGTCAGCTGGAGGCGCTGGATTGGTGGCTGATTGGGTGTATATTATTCGAGTTTTTATTTGGTACGCCTCCGTTCCACGCCTCCACTCCCGACCATGTGTTCGCTAATATCCTCGCCGGCGACATCGACTGGCCTCCGCTTTCACCAGAAGATATGGATCATTATTGTCCTCCTGAAGCTCGTGATTTGATCACCAAACTCTTGGTGGAAGACCCCGAGCAGAGACTTGGTAGTGGTCTGGCGGAGGAGATCAAGCTGCACCCTTACTTCAAGGATATCAATTGGGATACGCTTTTCGAAACTCCCGGTCCATTTGTCCCACCTGTCGACGACCCGGAACTGACGGACTACTTTGACCCTCGCGGTGCCGAGATGATGCAGTTCCCTATGGACGGGCTTGACTCGCAGGAACCCGAGCTGTTTGAGCCGTTGAACCAACTAGGGGCGCTGGCGTTCCACCAGGGAAGGGCCCGGCGCGGGCTGAGGCTCGCCGACTCGCTGGAGTTCGGCCTGTTCTACTTCCGCAACTTGGCCGTACTTGAAAAGGCGAATAAAGACGCCATCAACCGTTTGAAGAACGAGCACATGGAGCACCGACTGCTGTTCCTGCTGACAGGTCTGCTGGTGGTGCTGGCGGGCGAACTGCCATTGACCAGTCACGGCAGTCGCCAGCGAGAGCTGAGCTTTGGCCAGCTTGTCTGTGCCAGTCCCGGAGCCAATTGTCTGCCGTTTAAGCGTCCCATTTCTCCCGTTCCTCCACCCCCGATGTTCGACGAGTTGAAGTCAGACCCTACTACTCCTGCCGGTACTGGTCCTCCCCAAATACCGCCACAGGGGTTCCTGACGACGCTGCCGGCTCCGTCGCCGCCTACGTACAAGCACGAGCGCATGGAGCTGATCTTGTCGAACTACTCGCTGGGCGACGACCTTCTGTTCGATAAAGATATGGTGATGGGTGTCCACCGCCATCTGAGCCACCCATTCAACTTGTTACGTGATCTGCCGGTAACGCTGGACCTGGAAGAGACGAAACTGCTGGCTTTGCTCCGAGTGCACAAGCGCCGTCAACTGTACCGCAGAGCCGCTCTGTCTCGCCAAGGGCTGTTTAGTGCCGATGCGGCGGAGCCAGTGGGGTTAGGGCTTGGATCATGGCACTCTCAGTTCGACGTGCTTTACTGTGAGCCGCTGGCGCTGGTACGGGCGGCCACAACACGCGTGCTTGAACGCCACGGGTGTCTTGTTGTCGGTGTTGGTGATGGTGACGAGCTTGTACGCCGCGCCACCGGCCAGGTGAAGTTTGACCTTATCATGACGTGTATGAAGTTGAATAAAGTCGGGGCTATTGAAGCCGCTAAGTTGATCAAGTACACCACCGGCGCCAACACCACCACCCCCATAGTGGCGGTGACGGCCTACGGCGACATTGCGAGAGAACTGGGAGTGTTTGACGACGTATTGGATAAGCCCATTGACGACGGCAAAGTGGCCAGGTGTTTGGCTCGGCTTGTCTCTGCCGACGACGCCATCGAGTCCGATTAGACATTACTTACGATTTAATAAGGCATGAAGTATTGTTTAGCATGTTATCAGTGAGAGTATCCGTAGAGCTAGTACGACAAAGTGACTTCGAATTTCACTTGGATGATATATCCCTATTTTATCTTCAATTTCATCTTGTATGTGAGTGATGACATCAGGTAGCTAAAAGGGTCCCTTTAGATACTGTTCTGTTCTGGAGTTAACAGCAAATATATCCGAATTCGACCGTTGCGGTCATTTTCCATCACCGCGGCAGCATGCACGTGCTCCGGCAGTTTCGGCGCCCTGCCAAATCGGGGCCAGTGCCGTGATCCCTACCAAATCGGGGCCAGTACCGCGAGGCTTGGGGCGCAACCAGATAACCATTTATATAGCCACGGTTTTGCCACCACCGCTACACCATGGACGGCTCAACCACCACTTTGCCGGCTCAGGCTACAACCGTGCCCAAATCCCCCGCCTCGTCGCTGACGACCAACGTTGCCACCACCCGCCCCGCTAAGGCCAAACAATCAGAACTCGACACCAAGGTGACCAGAGCACCCTACTCATGGAAACAGCTGTCGCTCGACTGGATCCGCCACCACCCATGGTGGGGCCGCGCCCTGAACGAGAAGTGCGAACACGACTTGCTTGCCTACCTGCTCCCGTTCTACCCCGAGCCCGACGCCACCCGGCGGGCCCTGATTATCGATACCGATATTGGTGATGGCAACCATATCCACGAGTTGTTCATTGAAAATACCGAAACCCCTACCAAGGATCGACCAGCACCGCCAGTGAAGGATGTAGTTTTAATTCATGGCTACGCGGCTCTGTTGGGACTCTTTTTGGATAACTTTGATGAGCTTTCGTCGGTGCCCGGTATCCGGATCCACGCCATTGATTTGCTCGGGTTCGGGTTCAGTCTGCGGCCTAAGTTCCCCTCGTTGCCTCTGGACACTCCCGAAGAAGTGAATAAGGTTGAGGACTGGTTTATCGATGCCCTCGAGACGTGGCGTCAGCGCCGGGGTCTCGAACGGTTTACTCTTGTGGGCCACTCGTTTGGCGGCTATTTGCTGAGTTGCTACGCTCTCAAATATAACAAGCCGCAGGAGTCGTCGGGAGAGTCGTTGCTCAATAAGCTTGTGCTTATATCTCCCGTAGGTGTGGAACGGCTGGAGGCGCTGATGATCCCCAAGGACGAAGAGGACACCGACATCAACGGCACCTTTGCGGAGGATTGGCTGAAACTAAACACTCGCAAGGTTCGAATGATCAAATACATGTGGGGCAAAAACTGGTCGCCGTTCCTGGTGATCCGCAACGGGCTGGTGGCGCTGTCGCGGCTTGTCAGTGGGTGGACGCTGTGGCGGTTCGCTCATTATTACCGAGATGACCCCAAAAAATTCAACTTGATGCACAACTACATCTACCGGGTGTTCACTGCTCCGGGACTGGGCGAGTACGGTCTCACGCGAGCGTTGGCCTTTGGTGCTCTTGCTAAGCTTCCGTTAATCGACCGGATGCCGCGAGCATTTGTCAAACAAAACCTCCCCACAATGTGGCTTTACGGTGACCGTGACTGGATGAATGAAAAAGCCGGTGAAGCTGCCGTTAAACGAATTAACCAGTTGGCAGGCAAGTCTAACATGGCCGAATACGTGCTTGTTCCATCTGCCGGACACCACGTGTACTTGGATAATCCTAAGGCGTTTGACCTGAAAGTGTTGGATTTCATCATGGAATAATCATTATAGACTCTCAATGAATGTATACAAATGAAAGCTATGAAGTTTTTTACAGTGTAGTAGTTGGTTGCAAAAAGTTGGTGTTGAACTTACAGTGTGAGCCCTGGAAGTGATACCTGTATAATTAGCACAAAACGACAAAAAGTAACTACCAGCCGAGTCCCGATCCAGGGGAATGGCGATTATCTAATCGACGCCTTCCAGCCAGCCACTAAAGCCCATTCACGCTGACAACGCCCGCTTTCATTAACCCCCTAAATTATCACTTATTTAACTTATCAACTCTTGCTGGTATTCTATCCGATGCTATTTATTGTTTACACTTGGTAGTTAGCTCTTGGCTTGCATTTCCGAAATCACACAGCATACCCGAAGTGCTTCAGAAAAAAGTAAAACCGTCGCCACCGTTTTTCAGCGTCATGTCACTGCTAAGCCCCACCCTCATCAGACAGCTCGTAGCAATTAACGCACTGCAAAACTGCCGAAAACGTTTCTACGGCTTCCGTGCGTGGACAGTAACCCTCACCCTTCCCAAACGAAACTCCCCCCGGTGGCTATGTTCGGTCACGCGCACTGCTCGCTACCACACCCGCACTACCCCTTAGTCTCACTCGGTTTAAATTTTCTTAAGAAACCACCGCGGTGAACTTTTCGCTAGCCCTCATTTACCACTTCCTCTGCCACTGCTTGTCATGTCTGCCGCATTGATCAACCGGTCGTTGACGACGGTGAGAACCGAGTTGGAGTTTCTCAAGGACTCCGAGGTGATCACCGAGGCCCTCTACAACAAGATCGTCGATCTGTTGCCGCAAAAGTACCAGCTGGGCGCCGCCCCCGTCGACGTCGACGTGTTGGGTGGCCCCGTGGCGAAGCTGACGACCAGAGAGCTGGATCTCTCGCTGTCATTTGCCGCGATGAAGGTGACCCACGACACGCTGGCGCCGCCCGCTGGCCCCCCTCCTGACTACAAGGCGCCCCCGCCTCAGTCCAACAAGCCGTTGGGCTACTGCAAGGCGTTGTACGACTACCAATCAAGCACCAACGGTGACTTGGAACTCAACGAAGGCGACCGCATCGCCATCACCGAACACTTGAGCGAGGACTGGTGGAAGGGCTACAAAAAGGGCGACCACCCCGATAAGCCCGGCGTGTTCCCGTCGAACTATGTGGAGACGATCTCGGAACTGGAATTCAAGGAAGACAACCTGCGGTTGGCGCCGCCGCCCCCACAAAAGAAGGAAAGCTTCTCCAGCAACTACCTGCAACCTCCCCCTCAACAACAACAACACCAACCGAACTACCTGCAATCCAGCTTTCAGAGCTACGGTCCCATGAACCCGCAACCGCTGTACGGAGGCTACGCCCAATTCCCGCCGCCGCTGACCAACTACTACCCTCCTCAACAGTACCAACAAGCCCCCGCGCCCGTGCCTGTGCAACAAGAAGAACACCACCACGGCGGGGCGATGAAGAAGTTCGGTAGTAAATTGGGTAACGCTGCCATCTTTGGTGCTGGTGCCACCATCGGTTCCGACATTGTCAACTCTATCTTTTAATCATCACTCCTATATAGCAAATGTTTTAATGTTACGCCTCTCATATTTTAGACAATCATAATATCATTACTATTCTGTTAGTTTCTCGTAGTTACCAGGCTATGTACATTATTTTTAATCTTTTTACTTCGATCTGGAGTCGACGACAGTGTTCAACAACAACGTGTCGTTGTCCAAGAGGATCCGGTTAGGCGACTTGGCCAAGATTTGGGCAATTTCTCTCGCGGTGTCCAATCTCTTAAGTTCGACGTAGTCCTTCGACTTTTTGATGGCTTCACCAATGAGCTCGGCCGACTTGGCTTCACCCGACGCCTTAACCACCAACTGTTGCTTTTCTTGGATGGCCTTGTCGACCACGAACGCCGCCCGTTGCGCGTCTTGTTGCGCGATTTGCTTCGATTCGACGGCTTGCGAGAATTCAGGGGAGAACGTCATTTGCGTGAGCGAGACATCGTCCAACAAAATGTTGAACTTGCCAGCACGACGGATCAAGTTGTCTCTGATAAGACGAGAAACTTTTTCTCTTTGGGTGATCAACTGCAGCGCATTGAATTGAGCCACCACCAGCTTAAGCACTTCGTTGACAATCGACGGCAACACTTTTTCGTCGTAGTCAGTGCCCAAAGTCCGGTAGATGGTGGGCAATTGCGAGATTTCCGGCTTGAACAACACTCTGCACGAGATGTTGACCATTTGCAAGTCCTTAGTCCCCGTCAACGACGCCACGTTACGGGGCTTGGCCCGCACGTCGTAGACGATGGGTCTTTGGAACCACGGAATCACCAAGTGAGTACCTTCAGGGTAGATCTTTTGGCCGACCCCAGTAACTCGGGAGTATACGATGCCTCGCTGACCCCCGTCGACGTTGAAGAGGGCGTTTTCGGCAAAGAGCGCCACCCCGCCCAACAAGAGAATACCGCCAATCCCGGCGAACATGCCGAAGGGATTGCGGATGTTACGGCCACCGCCAGTAGTAGCAGCAGCCCGCGACTTCGCCTGCTGCGCCCGGCGCCGAAGTTCTTCCGAAAGGTTTCTCCACTGCTTGTCAGACATTTCTGATAGTGGCGTTGGTGAGTGAGCAAGGGTTTTTTGTTTGCTAGCCAGATCGCGGCAGATGGTAGCGCGGCAATTCCCCAGACCAAGACCAACTACTAACAAAAACACCAACTGAAACTTTTCTATCGAATGAGAGAAAGAATTGACCAATTGGCTCAATTGAGGTCACTTTACATTTATCCTGTTTACAATTTTTATGTTGGTCACGTTTATAGGTAGATACCGTTTGTTTGGGGATGTTTACCACAAGGGCTCGCCCTTGTGCACCTTCTCGAAGAACTCCATCGACGCCGTGAACACCACCAACAAGATCCCGCCACCGGGACCCAATCTCAACACCTTGGGGATGAAACCCTTGTACAACGCGGCGAACCCTTCTTCACGGGCCACCTTAAACAACGACGGGTAGGTCCACTTGTACTGAGTGGAACCAGCCTGGATTCTTGATTTGACCACGTCAAAGGGAGTGTTCAACACCGTACCGAAGGTACCACCAATGGTACCGCAGGTCAAGTCGATGAGCATCTTTTGCTTCTTGTCCTTGGGCTTGGGCATGAGCGATCTCACCTGGTGGATGACACCGAAGTAACCAGCGTTCCACCAGATGTGTCTCCACATCGTCGACTCCAACCCCTTGTACAACCCCAAGGGCCCGTTCTTGCGCAAGATGTCCTTGACGACGTCACCCATCCCGTTGTAGGTGGTGTTCTTGTCCTGCAAGCGGATCTTGATCAATTCGAAAGGGACGACGATGAACGACTCGGTGGCACCGGCGGTGGCCCCGGTCAACACCGCCAACCCGGGGGTCATGGCGGGGACGCCGAACGCCTTGCGGTAGAACTTCCCCCACTCGTCGTTGGCGGCGAACTTGGTGGCTCTCTTGGGCGCCTCCATCAAGATGGGGGCCGAGATCCCCTTGTAGAGCCTCAGGGGCCCTTCCTCGGCGACAATCTTCTTCAAGCACTTGATGGTGCCGTTGTAGGCGCCGGTGGTGTCCAATTGTTGTCTGGTTTTCACCACGTCGAGCGGGTACATCACCAAGATTTCCGACACCCCGGCGATCGCCCCGGCGGCGAATTGGTACTGGAAGGGAAGATCAGACATCGTGTCGCTATTGGGCTTAGGATTAGAAGGGCTTCCTGGTGGATGGTGGTGGAGAAAGGTGAGGGTTTTTTAAAATCGTGAGGGGTAGCCGCCAGTGCGGGTCGCGTCCCCACCTCCGCTGAACCGACACCCCGTCATGTGAACGGTTTGAGGCATTATGCCCTGGCAGCGACACCCGAGTGGTGGGGGAGCTTTGCCCCAGCTTTCGGCTACATGACCCGTTAGTGGTTGCCGACCACCTCCAGCCAGGGTATACGACCCACGCTTTAGGGGGGGTTCAGTATACTTATCGCAAAACCACTATCGCTTATTGGCTACCTTTTAGGATATAGATGTCGCAAGTGCACTTATATTAGAGATGAGAGAGCGAGGAGGGAGCGAGTCACGATTCGAACCGACGACCATCGACCGAAATCGCCGCGACCGGCCCGTGGTTTTACCGTAGACAAGCCATGACAACGCTATTTGCATAAGGGTCATTTTTCTGCAAAATTGCTTCAAACTCTACCTTGTTTTGATTGTTTAAATTAAAGTCATGCGGATCGGCCTCGACGCTGTTAGAAGCGTTGGTGGGGGTCGGCTCCGCAAGCGATTGCTCGAGATCAACTGCCGTTTACGTGTAGNTTTTTTTTTTTTTTTTTTTTTGGTGGGAATCGACTATCTGCAGGACCTCATCGCTCCAGAGCCATCGCACTATAAAAGGGCCCACCGTCGCACTTCTTGAACTTTATGTGCGGTATGCCATAGCTTTCTCGTGTTGCTTGTCTGTTCGATGTAGACGAACTTGTGAGTGTCAAGATTATGGCTAGATCAAAAAATGCATTATGTGATCATCTTAACGCTCGTCGTGGATTCTCAACGCTAGATAGATCCGCGAGGGCTGGTAGATCAGATATTTTATCATCGTAGACCAAACTCAATCAAAAACCGAAAACCAGATCCTTGAAGCCTACGTCTTCAAGGATGTACGACTTGACGCGACAGCTGGAAGTTTTACCCCAATTCGTCTGCAACGGACCGCGTCCACACCATTGTTAATTTTCGTTGTCTTTTCGACATGGGATCAGGGTGCAGTGAAAACCACGAAAACTGGTCTCATCCACTTGACACCAAAACTTTAGTCACTGTAGTCGATCGCCACCATTATCACACAACACCTATTTTATGAAACCTCTGATTTTTAAGCCTCCCCCAGCCTTATATGCTTTCAATAACGCAGTCAGGCCTACCGCGTATCGATGGTGTTTTTTTCTGCAGGCGAGAGAGCACCTTTGATCAAAAGACTACTACACATATACCCGCAGTTGTTTGACGGACAATAACAGCAAACATGTGGCGGCACACCTTTCTTCGACACCGCCTCAAGCTCCTCCTCATAGCGGTGTTGCTTGTAATCGTCCTCCAGCTTGTCTACTACCGGCCCAAGATCATTGAACCCTACTTGGACATGGCCATGCCAGCGCCCAAGGAAGACCCGGAAAAGGCGAAGATACGAAACTTGCTGGTGTTCTTTGACGACTTGGAGAAGTACGCTATCGATGCTCCCTCGCTCAAGGGCAACTACAAGACGGAAAAGGCGTTCGAGAAGTTTGCCTCCAACGACGACTTCATGTTCAATAAGGAGTATCTCGAAAACGTGTTGGAAATCAGTGACGAAACTCAAGCCAAGATGACTGATTCTCATACCCGATACGTCAACGATCGCATCAACCAGTTACTCGAGAACTACGGGGTGTCGACGTTTGGCGCCAATTTGCCCTCCGATGCAGACTGGAGCCAATACCACGGCTCTAAGGGGTACGTCCTTGTTGGCGGTGGGAAGTATTCGTGGCTTTCGTACCTTGTTATTCGTCAACTTCGGGCTCTGGGGTCTGAACTCCCCGCCGAGTTGTTTATCCCGCTGCTGACAGAATACGAAGCCGACTTCTGTGAGAAGGTATTGCCCAAGTACAACGCTCGTTGTAACGTTTTCAACGATACTCTTGGTTATGACTTGAAGAGAAGATTCAACTTGGGCGGCTTCCAATTCAAGATGCTCGCGCTTCTTACTCTGAAGTTCGAGCAAATCCTTTACTTGGACTCTGATGACTTCCCTGTGCGCAATCCGGATTACTTGTTTGAAGGAACTAAGTTCAAGGAAACTGGTTTAGTCATCTGGCCTGATGCCTGGGCAAGAACTACCAACCCTAAGTTTTTTGAGATTGCGGGAAAGCCCGTCAAGGAGCGGAAAGTCCGGTGGTCAAAGTTTGACGATAAGGAAGCGGAACGTCAAGGGACTCAGCTTAAGCCGTTGGAAGAGTACAAGTTTAGTGAGCTGCGCTTCCACGACTTCGAGGGGGCGTTACCTGACCCCACCCTGGAGACTGGTCAGTTGTTGGTGGACAAGACTCGTCAATTAAAGACACTTTTGCTTGCGTTGTACTACAACGTGTTTGGTCCCAATTTCTACTACCCCATCATGACTCAGGGATCGGCTGGTGAAGGCGATAAAGAAACGTTTATCGCTGCGGCTCACGTTCTCGGCGAACCATACTATCAAACCGAAAAGGGGATGGCGTGGTTAGGCTATAACCGGGAAGACAAAGATGGTCAATTTGACTCAAAGGCATTGGGTCACTGGGACCCCGATGATCTGGCTAAGGATGATAAGGACGATGCCAAACTTCTTTTCATGCACTTATCGTACCCCAAATACTACCCTGACTGGCTCGTTAACAACCACGAGCTCGTGTCGAAAAAGCTGGGTAAGGACGTTCGCATGTACCCGTCCACCTACGAGAAGATTGGCTACGACTTTGATCTCCGCGCTCTTCAATTGTTCACCATGGGGGCGTGTTCGAATTATTACGGTGACGACGGCAAGCCGGTTGACGCCACTGAAGGGATTGACAGTTCGGAATTCATGGGCCCCCATTTGGCCTACATTGCGGGCATGGAGCGGTTGCCTCAGTGGTGTGAAAAGGTGTTTATTCCTCACCTCAAGTGGTTAAAGAGCACGACAGAATACCCCGACACTAGTGTGGTGGTATGATGACGTAATGGTGTGTATATATTGATGGCTTATCTACGGAGATTAGAATGAGACGATATATTTAGTTTTGTACGTATTCTACAGCAACCCGCTAATACTGATGGTCGTTAGTAAATTCGTATTAATGATGCGCAGTATCGCACAGTCGTGCCGTCACCAACGCTGCCCTATTGTATGGAACCAGGACACAAACGGGAGGCGTGGCGAAGCAAACGCGTACAAAGACACGTCTGAGCACTATTATTAGTAGTCTGGGTATTCGGGAAATGGGTTCAGCATTATAAGAAGTGCCAAGGTTCTGGGCCTGCGCTCCATTACTAATCTACCCCAGTCGCCGCACCGCAAAAGTTTACGACTTGCGGGTAACTTCCAAGTTAGTCGCGACATGAGTCGCGACATGAGCCACCACTTGCGGGTAACTACCAAACAAGTCGCGACTTGCGGGTAACTTGCGCGAATAGCCGCGGACGACAAAGAGGTGAAACGCCCAACATCCGAGCCGTCCTCGGCATGGACTTTTGGGAATATAACCTATAACTCGACTAAACGAGACAAATGCCCTCCCGTTTGACGTTGTTGACCACTCATAGTCTTCCCCACAAACTCTATTTCCCACGGGGGAATTTTCCGTGGAGTTTCTATGGAGTTACTGCCGTCACAGCACCCTTCTATCTCCGATATTACTAGAATCTAGACTCAAAGTCGGATGTCAGCCTCATCATGCAACACGCCACTTTCGGAACTCCTGGATTAGAATCCATAAAATTTATGTCAACCTAGAAGTCTCCAATTCCCAGCTTTCACTATATAATCAAACAGGCCATTTTGAATTCAATTGAGCCCATCAGTAGTCTATTTGGACGCTTCATTCTTTTTTATCATCGACTTCTTCTTGTTTCACTGCGCGCATGATGAGTGCAGAATTAACACATCTCGGGTGCAGAATTAACACATCTCGGGTTCGGACCGGGCCCCGAGCGTGCAGCAATACTCTACAATATATATGGCTGAGAGATGCCCGCTGTCTCGGCAGTGGTGGAAAGCATGACTAGCATCGACAAGGCGGAACCTGAAAAGGCTAATGGAGACGATCAAGAGGTGGCGTGCTCGATTCCTCAGCCGCCCAGTGATGAAATCAGCACCATAAGAGAGTTGGCATTCATGTTTCTCATGTGTATGTCCCAGCTTTTAACCCAAGCCGGAGTTGCTCAAACGATGGTGGCTGCTACCAAGATTGGGGAACTGTTTCATGTGGCGGATAAACCCGGCGAAGTGCTGTGGTTTGCTGCTGCCTACTCGTTGACGGTGGGGACGTTTATTCTCATATCCGGCCGCCTTGGTGACATGTACGGTTACAAGTTGATGTACGTGGTTGGCCATGCTTGGTTCGGTGTGTTTTCCCTTGTTAGTGGCTTTTCTGGCTTCACTACCAGTGCCGTGTTCTTTGATGTTTGTCGAGCTCTTCAGGGTATGGGTCCTGCCATTACCATGCCCAATACCCAAGCTATCATTGCTTCATACTACCCTGTGGGTTTAAGACGCAACGTTTGTCTTGGTATCTTTGGTGCTGTCGCTCCTGGTGGGTTCTGCTTTGGTGCCATTTTCACCGCGATCTTTGCCCAATTCTCTTGGTGGCCATGGACTTTCTGGACCTGTGGGATTGTCTCTATCGTGCTTGCTGCCAGTTCCATCTTGATTGTGCCTAAGCACATCGGCAACAAGCAAGCAAAGCTGTTTGACTGGTTGGGGCTGGTGGTCGGGGTCCTGGGGTTGATTCTTCTCAATTTTGCCTGGAACCAGGGTCCCAATGTTGGTTGGGAGAAGGTGTACGTGTACGTTTTACTCATTGTCGGTATCGTGATGCTTGTGGCATTCGTTTACGTTGAACTCCACATCGCCACTGATCCGTTAATTCCTCGAGTGGCATTCAGAGGTGAGACCGGGTTTGTGCTCGCTTGTATCGGGTGTGGGTGGTCATGTTTCGGTGTGTGGCTTTACTACCAGTACCGTGTGGGTGACCTTATTGAGCACGAACTGCTTATCATCCAAGCGGTCGAGTTTATTCCCTGTGGCATTGTCGGGGTCATTGCCGCTATCGGTACTACTTTCGCTCTTCGCAAGTTCCCGCTGTCGTTCATCATGTTAATGTCCATGATAGCCTTCTTCTCTGGCATTGTCGTCGGTGGCTTACGTCACTGGGGTCAGACGTATTGGGGGCAACACTTTGTGCTGAACATTCTCCAGCCGTTTGGTATGGACATGTCGTTCCCCGCTGGGGTCATTATTCTTAGTGCAGCGTTCCCTCCTGCTCAACAAGGGGTAGCAGGCTCGCTCGTGTCCACCGTGGTCAACTACTCCATCTCTATCGGATTGGGTATTGCCGGTACGGTGGAGTACTACAAGACAAAGAATATGCCTGAAGGTCTCGATAGAACCAAACATGGTATCCGCAATGCCTACTACATGGGTATGGGGCTTGCTGGTCTTGGGGTAGTCGTGGGTGCTATCTTCTTTGTCAAGCAGATGATCCACCGGAGACGAGAGCTGAAGCCGACCGAGGCTACTCCTGACGCAGAACACCCGTAAGCGGTGCTTAATTAACAAGCCGGCTGTTGGATGGTCAATCTCCTTAATGAATAGAGGTTTGTAAGATTTTTTATAATGTCCCTATATTTATGACAAAAACTAATGCATAATTCTATAATGACAAAACACTCTTAGGTTCCCTTTCGCCAGTATGGAGTTTTCGTTGAAATTCACTTGAACTCTAGTAATCGAGCTATCCAAATTTTGATCAAACCGACTGTCAGCGTGTCGTTGGTTTACAAAATATAACTGGGTTTGTCTGCTAAAAAGCTTAACTGGTCGACAACAAATTTAACCTCAAAGTTTAATTTTTATGAGCATCGCGTGAGCATGAAGCCAACATAGCTTTCACGAACTTCTGAGGTCCTCGTGTCACTTCAGCGCTTTCCATGGTTGGTTGTTCAATTTTTAGTGGAAGCAGAAATCGATCGAAGTTCTGTTTTGTTGAGATTTTTTAACTCCTGGTAGGGCGGCTAAATCAGTTGATCCGCGATCGTTATCTCGATGACGTCATCACCAGGTACCGCCACTCTTTACGCGGGAAATGTTTGTTTTCCTTCAAAAATTTCCTTTCTATTGATATAATTGAAAATAGTCTTTCATCGTCAGCCTACTACAGCAACAATTCCTCGAAGTTTCCATTTTTCATTCTCTTCACTCTCGTATCTTCGCACTGCGACCTATTATTGAATCACTCGATACCCCCAACGCTCACCGCTGGAAAGCTGACGCTACTTTCCAACGCTGAGAGTATATGCATCCATTGGTCGTCAATTGATTCCTGAATCGCGATTGACAGTCCATACACTCATTCATCCATCCATCGTCATGTACACTCCCCACATTCATTTGGCGTACGAGAACAAACCCTGCGAGAACCAGCGGGCGTTCTACGCTCCACCATTATCGGCATTCTCTCCCGATGCTCCTGGCGGCTCCGAACGTGAGCTAGAATACACCATTGAGGTCAGCACCAACCGGCGATCACGATACAGCCTCATCACTCCGTTGGTACACCGCAAAATGGACGAGTTGAAGCTGATCGGGTCCACAGGGTACACAACGATACGTCCCGTGGGTATTGGCAGAACCCTTGGTGAAATTGAAGCTGATAGAACTAAAGAGATGAGCTCGTTGAACCTGGCACCGTCCTCTGCCGAAGCTACTGCCGAGAATACCCACGAAGGAATTACTATTGCCACATCTTTCCCTGAAGCCGATCTTGATGCTGATGTAGTGGATATGGATGACGGTGCCATTGCTGAAGATCTGGCATTTCTCAGTGATGAAGAAAATGACGATGACGGGTTCATGGCTGACGAAGTCGAATACCAACCGGATCACAGCCTCGAGCTTGTACTGCTAGCACCGCCAACCACACTGCAAACACTGCTGAGAGTGTCTAGCCGGCGGCCGGTAGCTGAAGATCCTGAAGTGCTGATGGATATGGATATTTAACTATATGTGAAGCAGGCTTTGCTTAGAAAGAAACATTCGTACCCTTCTCATTAAATTAAATGGAAAAACTAACCCTCTATATCTATACTTGTTTCGCTTCCTTAACCGTATCATGCTCTACCTTGATTGCCCCCAAATCAAGCTTCACCATCTTATCGACTTTTGCAGTACTAAGATGGATCGCTGGTACCATCCACCGACCACACAGACACCTCAGCCCCTGCCACGAGTAGCCACCCACTTTAGCTTCACACTTAGGACAGAGAAACTTGCCTTCAAGCTCTTGTGACTCGAGCTCAGGAGCCATCCAGGCGGCGGGTTCAGGCATGAACCAGTGGGAGCAGTCACTCAGGGCTTCTTCAGTGGACACGACCCACCGTTTCCAACCGGCGGTCTTAATGAATTTGGCTTGTTTCAGGTCAGGGCCCGGTTGTTCGTGAGGTTCGACATCGTCATTAGTGGCAAGGGTGTGGCGACACCGTTTGCACCGTAAATCAAACAGTTCAGTATACCGAGCTTCCCGAGGTTTATAAACTTTCATCAGACGCAATTCTTCACCTGTAGGATCACGGGCAAGCGAGAGTTGAATGAGGAACTCAAGGTACTCCTTTGAGTCTTCATCAACCTTAAAGTCCCAAGCACCAAACTGTTCCACTTGAACGGCGAACCCTTCGTTAGGCTCTACATCTTCCTTTTTCCGTTTCACTGCGTAGAGAGCATTTTTGTAGGACAACTTGTAGTTGTACATGAGGTAGGCAACAATCACTGCCACTGACCGCAGCACTGCTTGGGCACAGTGGACGAGCACGGCTCCCTGGTGTTTCTTGGGATTCAGCTTATCGCCATCGGGAAACAATGCCAGATCAATGAACTTCATCGCCTCCGGTAAGTGTTTCATGAGGTTTGCCAGCGGCTCATCTTCGATGTCAATGTGTAAATGAGATTTGTCAGTAGCCAACAGCACCGGCCCGTTGACTATCAGAAGCACATGGGTCACTTGGTTGAGGTCGTCAGCCAGCTGTGTGGCAGCGATATCTCCCAAGTAGATACCTCCGAGGATCCGCCAAATCATCTGGGTTCAGTCGTGATGGTGTGCGACTATGCGATGAGCTCGGGCCCATTACGTGGGGTAGCCCAAATTCGGCCATCGATGATGTGAAATGCACCAAATTGGAAAACACATCTAACTTCAAACAAACTTCATCGGTCTCATCAACAATTTGTGGCTGATGATCGTTCGGGGTTTGCTGGTCAGCGCGGGGCACCGTCGCGGGGTCGCGTCGACGTCATCGCGACCGGGTGACCGTGGTTTAAGGCAATTTAAGGTGGACATCGCACGGGGATGCCCCACTTGACGCGTGACACGAGCGAAATTTTGCCAGTGGTGCTGCTGGCGCTAAACAAGGTGGCAAGGACATATATGTCCACTGCAGATTTCGGCGGCTACGAGAAACTACAGATGGTGGAATCGCTGTGGCTGTCGGCGTGTGTGTGTGTGTGACCCTTCGGAGCGGAAGCGACAAATTGATGCAGCCGTTGCTGGATTTACCGGGGTAAGCACAAGGTTATCGGGGTCTCATGGTAATGGCTGGTGTTTATAATCGGACGATGCTAAATGGTGGCCAAGCACTTTTTGCCATGACCCCAGAAATTCGTCATATTTTCGGTTATAAGTCTGGGGTTGGGCCTGAAAGGTATCGTAACCAAGTCCGAGATGGATCCGAAGCAGCGCGAGTGTTAATCGCCGGACAAACAATCGCCGTAGCACCATGTAATAACAAAGAAAACTGGCATTGGCGACGGTAGCGGCCGAGTGGTCAAACAATAGCCCATTTCATGCTGGATCGACCCTGTTCCGTAGTAGCCGAGGGCGTGGTTAATTAGCCCTCGGCAAATTGCTCCGACGATGTAACCAACGAAAAAGTTTTGGGCCCAACGTTCGCAACCGCATAAGCCACGGCAAGTCCGCCCGACGATAATAGGCTCATACGGCAGATGAGGGTATTTTTGTCAGCTACAGATTGCCGTCGATCGTGGGGTAACTGCTACCACGGAATCAAAGGCATGTATAGGTTTGGTAGAGGTCGGAATATCACAACCACCACCCGTCAAATTAGCAACAGTAGCCACGGGAAGGCGAAGCTCACGTCCCCTGATCACGGAAAGTTTAGTGCATACCCCAGGTTTGCAGTCCGTGTAAAACCACGCAAGATTACACCGATGGGTTCACCAATGACAAGTGGCAGATAAACTTATGGGACGCCACGACAATACTACCGGACGAGCGATCTACGTAGAGGCAAATTATCACATGGGAGCGGTGTTCGGCAACCGTCGGGTGACGGGCGAATCAAATCATTACGAGTGAAAAAGATTGTCACCGCCGATAAAATGGCGACAACAATGGCCAACGGCGTTCGGTGGGGTCGGGTACTCCAGCACGGCCCAAAGTGGCTCCGACGGGCGTGTCGCCATTGCTCACGGCGACACTCTAATATCGGTTCTCGGTCTCTCGGGAAAATCGCGCCTCTCATTGGCCCACGAAATGCATCCTGCACACGGGTGAAATACATAAAAGAAGTGACAATCGACCCGCCAGATTTTTTTCTGTTGCTAAGGAAGAATTCGTCAGAATGTCTGCTTTGAGATCTATCAGAACCGCTAACCTTGCTAAGACCGCCTTGAACGGTACCAGAACCTACGCTACTGCCGAACCCGTACGTGTTTTTCCTCCATTGATCCCACCATTAAATGGCGAGGGTGCCTCCCCGATCAATTGACTAACGATTATAGACTTTGAAGCAAAGATTGTCGGAACTCCTCCCCGAACAAGCTGAAACCATCAAGCAATTCAAGAAGGAATATGGCAAGACCGTATGTATCCCGATCCTTTCCTAAGTGTGGCTGCCCCTCGTCCTATCCGCGCACCGTTTTTTTTTTTTCTTCGGAGTTCTTTCGGAGCCGGGGAAAAAACGTCGATGCGCACTGACGTATTTGCAGCCACTGTTCACGAAATTGACATTCTAAGATTACTAACAGTTATAGGTTATTGGTGAAGTTTTGCTCGAACAATCGTACGGTGGTATGAGAGGTATCAAGGGCCTCGTCTGGGAAGGTTCCGTCTTGGACCCCATTGAAGGGATCAGATTCAGAGGCAGAACCATCCCCGACATCCAAAAGGAATTGCCCAAGGCCGAAGGTGGTGAAGAACCTTTGCCCGAAGCCTTGTTCTGGTTGTTGGTCACCGGCGAAGTCCCCTCCGTCGCCCAAACCAAGGCCTTCTCTGAAGAATTGGCCGCCAGATCGGCTTTGCCCAAGCACGTCGAAGAATTGATCGACCGGTGCCCCTCGAACTTGCACCCCATGGCTCAATTCTCGATCGCCGTGAACGCTTTGGAATCGGAATCGCAATTCGCCAAGGCTTACGCCAAGGGTGTCCACAAGTCGGAATACTGGAAGTACACCTACGAAGACTCGATCGAATTGTTGGCTAAGTTGCCCAACATTGCCGCCAGAATCTACAGAAACGTCTTCCACGACGGCAAGTTGCCCGCCTCGATCGACCCCAAGAAGGACTACGGTGCCAACTTGGCCTCCCTTTTGGGTTTCGGTGGCAACTCGGAATTCGTTGAATTGATGAGATTGTACTTGACCATCCACTCCGACCACGAAGGTGGTAACGTCTCCGCCCACACCACCCACTTGGTTGGTTCGGCCTTGTCGTCGCCTTTCCTCTCGTTGGCCGCTGGTCTTAACGGTTTGGCCGGTCCCTTGCACGGTAGAGCCAACCAAGAAGTCTTGGAATGGTTGTTCAAGATGAGAGAAGAACTCAAGGGTGACTACTCTAAGGAAAACATCGAAAAGTACTTGTGGGAAACCTTGAACGCCGGCAGAGTCGTTCCTGGTTACGGTCACGCCGTCTTGAGAAAGACCGACCCCAGATACACCGCCCAAAGAGAATTCGCTCTTAAGCACATGCCCGACTACGAATTGTTCAAGTTGGTCTCGAACATCTACGAAGTCGCCCCCGGCGTGTTGACCAAGCACGGTAAGACTAAGAACCCCTGGCCCAATGTGGACTCGCACTCGGGTGTCCTTCTTCAATACTACGGCTTGACCGAAGAATCGTTCTACACCGTCTTGTTCGGTGTCTCGAGAGCCTTCGGTGTCTTGCCTCAATTGATCATCGACAGAGGTGTTGGTATGCCCATTGAAAGACCCAAGTCGTTCTCCACCGAAAAGTACATGGAATTGGTGAAGAACATCGCCAAGAACTAGGTCTGATGCCGCATCGAATTATTTATTCGCTATTTATTACGTAGTTATGTTGAGAAATATGAACCTGTATTTAGGACAAACTCACTGTAGAGTGTCGTCGCGATACTACTTTTTGAAATTCGCTACCCCAGGCTTGACTCATTTGGTGATATTTGTTATCGGATGGTAGCGCGAATTTTTCAATCCTCCGATGCTAAGAGGGCTAGCGATCCGCCGGCTCCACGGCTCGACGATTGCTCGAAGTGATAAAGTCAACTACTCTAAGACCCTCCAGCTTCCTAAGACAGCCTTCGGTCCGAAAATCCCTCAAGGAGACGCTCGCAGCCAGCTCATCGATACCACCTCCAGCGACATCTACCAATGGCAGTGGCAGGCTCGTGCCAGTGTGCCCCAATTTACTCTCCACGATGGTCCTCCTTATGCCAACGGTGATCTCCATATGGGTCATGCCCTTAATAAAATCCTCAAGGACATCATCAACCGGTGGGAGCTTCTTTACTCTGGTAAGCGCATCAACTATCGCCCCGGGTGGGACTGCCACGGGCTTCCCATTGAGATGAAGGCGTTGGAACGTCACATTGCGGCCAAGCAAGACCCGAAGACTCTTACTGCTTGTGAGATTCGGTCTACGTGTCGAGCTTTAGCTCTGGAGATGATTGACAAGCAGCGCACTCAGTTTAAGGAGTTTGCCATCATGGCCGACTTCAGTCAGCCTTATATCACCATGACTCATGACTACGAAATCAGCCAACTCAAAGTGTTTCGCAAATTGATGGAAAACGGGCTTTTGACGCGTCAATTGAAACCAGTGTGGTGGGGGTGTGAAACGACCACAGCGCTCGCCGAAGCCGAGTTGGAATATAACGAAAAGCATAAGAGCACGGCTATCTTTGTTAAGTTCCCCATGGTGCTGCTGGAGCTTACCACCAAACTTCAAAGCCAAGTACCGCAAATATCGTCGATTAAGCTTTTAATTTGGACGTCGACGCCCTGGACGATTCCTGCTAATCAAGGTATCTGTATCAACCGGAATTTTGACTACGGCTTAGTACGCAATAAAGCCACTGGAGAACACTTGGTGGTTGCCACTGAGCTTGCGGAGCTGGTGGCTAAGCTTCATGACGATTATGAAGTTGTTGACGGAGTTACCATCACCGGTGAGGAATTATTGGGTCAGAAATACGTCCACCCTGCGTCCCAGACTACTCAGGAATTCCCCGTGATCCATGGTGACCACGTATCCGCAGCGGCTGGGTCCGGTTTAGTGCACACTGCCCCTGCCCATGGTGGTGAAGATTACCTCATTGGTAAAAACCATGGGTTCTTAATTGCTTCCTCAGTGAATGGGGAAGGGCGCTACATCAAAGATAATATCCCTAAAGGGTACCATGGCCTCGCCGACGCTAAAGTCACTGCTGGTGCCACCATCGCCAATGTCATCAACCTTATGACTGAGAACGATATGATCTACCATGTGAACAAGAAGTTCATCCACTCCTACCCTTACGACTGGCGATCGAAGACTCCCGTGATTCAACGAGCTACCCCTCAATGGTTTGTTAACGTCGAACGCATCAAGCAAGTGGCCAGTAAGGCATTGGACGACGTCGAATTTGTGCCCCAACTGGGTAAGAACAGATTGCTGCTGTTTGTGCAAAACCGTAACGAATGGTGTATTTCCAGACAACGGACTTGGGGGGTGCCTTTACCTATCGTTTACAATAAACACACCGATGAACCGGTGGAAAGTCTAGCCGTGGTTGACCACATCATCGCCAAGATCGACGAGTTCGGTACCGATGAATGGTTCACTGAAGAAGACGATATACTGAGATGGTTACCGGAAGGGGTCAATGGTGCTGACTACGTCAAGGGTAAAGATACGATGGACGTGTGGTTTGACCTGGGGACGTCATGGACGACGCTTCTCTCGTCTCCAGTGGAAGCAGGCTTCTCTAACGACGAGCCATTGGCTGATATATACCTCGAAGGTAGTGACCAGCACCGCGGCTGGTTCCAATCGTCCTTGCTTAATAAGATCGTCAGTTCGGGCGTTGGCGGCGATAACTTCAAACCGGTGGCTCCCTTCGCCAAGATCATTACCCATGGCTTTACGTTAGACAAATCGGGTCAAAAGATGTCTAAGTCAAAGGGGAATGTCATTTCCCCCGCTCATGCCATGGCCGGTGGTGGCAAACCTTTCTTACCGGCTTTGGGAACCGATGGCCTTCGTCTTTGGGTGGCGTCGCTGAGTTACACTAGTGATGTCGCTGTCAGTCCCGAAGTGCTCTCACGAGTATTTGAAACCGTGAAGAAATTGAGGGTAACGTTCAAGTTCCTTTTGGGCAACTTATACCAATTCAAGCAACCGGTGGACTACGAAAACCTTGCGCCCTTGGACAAGTACGTGTTGTCTAAGTTAGCCACCCTTCAACAACGGGCCATTACCAACTTTGAGGACCATGGCTACCAAAAGATTATCAATGATCTCAACACTAATATGAACACTGAGCTCAGTGCGTTATACTTTGACATCTCCAAGGATTGTCTTTATACTGATGCTGCCGACTCTTCTCGCCGCCGAGCTATTCAAACGGTCATTGCCGAAGTTGCTAAAGTGTATCTCTCGATCTTGGCTCCCATTCAACCGATTTTGGTCCAGGAAGTATGGCATGAGTACCGTCAATTGTTTAATATTGATGAGCCCACTCCCTTCCACAAACCGTGGTCGTATTACCAAGTGCCCCAACAATTCCACAACCCTGAAGTTGAGACTGAATTTGCTGAAATTTGGGCCCTTAGAGACCAAGTATACCGCCAAATGGAACAACTCCGAAACGACGGTGGGTTCAAGAATAAGTTGGAGTTGAAGCTCCACCTCAAACTGGACTCGCCCGTCATTGCCAAGCATCAACAATGGCTCGACGACTACTTCCTCGTGTCTGAAGTCGAAGTCAATACTCCCCCTGAATCGGAGGTGCTCTCCTCATCGGACGTGGTCGACATTGTTCGTTCGCCTCACGCCAAATGCCCTCGGTGCTGGAAGTTTATCGCTCCTGAGCCGGAGACGTTGTGCCAGAAGTGTGATGCGGTTGTAAATAGCTAACTCTACCTGTAAATATTAAGATTATTACGTCATTGGTCTTCGTGTAATGCCTCAGTCAATGGCTTTTGGTTATGGAAAAAGTTATCCATGGGACTGAGTTGGTAATTGCCACTGTCATCGATGAAGAACTGTCGAGTAACGTAACTTCGATAATGCTTGCGGATATTATGCTCGGTGGGAATCCACCATTTGGTGCGTTTAGCTCGAAGTTTCGGCAGTAGCTGTTCCTTTTCGATTTCTCTTTTACGCTCCATGTACCGAAAGAAGTTGGGGTTAATCGCCACTTCAGAGCTCTCCAATGGAGTTGATGCCACAGTGATGAGCCAATCCAAATCATACTTCGCTAACGGCACAAACTGAGTGACTAATTGCTTCACTTCTCGGATCTTCTTGACGAATATATTATTCTGTCGCTTAGCACTCAAGGGAAGAGCATATTGATCGGTGGGATACGACACTTCGGGCTTGATATTGCGTTTGGCGGCTAGTCTCAGCTGATTATGCAGCACAAACCGAGTCAACTTCACCGCTTTATCCGTGAGCTGTTCGTATAGTGACACTCCCGAGCCGTACTTGCGGAGCATAGTGAAAGGCAGTTCTCCCGGTCCCTGGCGGAGCCACGAGGTATTGCTTGCGCCAATTAAAGCTTGAGCCTCATGGTATTTTCGTAGTGCTGGTTCGGTGCCAAATTCATCGATGAGGTGTACTTGGGGCCAAAACGGTTTGAGCTGTACAGGAGACACGGATCGGAATTGATGATACCACTGTGGCGGTCGTTTATAGCATCGGTCAAGTACGTCGGATAGCAGCAGCCATCGCTCATCCTCAACCAATTGGCGCTGGAGAGAGATCCAGCTCCGGTATAGGCGGGGGAGGTCCTGAGGGTTGCGGGCCTGTTTGACTTGACTTTTGACTGAAGCAACTATGCGGTTGAGGGTAACGGTATCCACCGGTAGTCGTCGGATAGCGGTGACTGCCTGTTTGAACGTGGTAGGCATTTTTTGGGGGGAGATAGTATTCGCAGGCTAGCCATCTACCACACTAATCGCACGCTTGCGTGACTAATTATTTAAGAGAATCTAGCAATAATCAAAGAAGATAATTAGTGATTAAAATCCATTGCAACTGAATTAAGTCAGTTAGTTCTCAAATTGTTTCGATCACTTTGTTTTGGCCAACCCATAAATCTCACTACCTCTCGCCTACCCCACGACATTTTGTTCTTAGTCGCGGTGGAGGGCGCGCGTTGTCCTTACACCATGGCGTTAGCAGAGACGGTCATCCGGCTTATACACAAGCACCAGGTGATCCCCAAGGCGGTGCGGTACCTCCCCGTCATCCTGTTCCTTGTGGCGATGGCGCTGGTGGTGTGGCTCGCGGTGCTCCCGCTCGAGGGCCAGTACCGCCGAACCTACATCTCCGAGAACGCGTTGATGCCGGGCCAAGTGACGCTGTATTTCCGGGAATCCGAGTGGAACTATGTCCGTGGCTTCCGCTCGGAGCTTGTTAATATGGAGCTGATGGACTACGGCGAGCGCCAGCTGATCGTCCAAGGGTGGCTCGACGATATTGGTCTCACCACCGACATCCACCACAACAGCGTCAACAGTACCACGTTATACGGGGTGATGCACGCTCCGCGAGGCGACGACACCGAGGCCGTGGTGCTCACGGTGCCGTGGTACACCAGTGACGGCCACTACAACGTCGGGGCGTTGGCGTTGGGGATGGCGCTCATGCGATACTTCCTGCGGATGCTGATCTGGTCACGGAACATCGTCGTGGTGTTCCCCGAGCTGCTGAGGGTGCCGTTGCGACAATGGGTCGATGCCTACCACACGCTGTTGCCGCTTAACGCGGGGGCCATCGATGCCGCCATCGTCATGGAGTATGCGAGCGCTAACGACCACTTTGACTACTACCAGATGTTCTACGAAGGTCTTAACGGTCAGCTCCCCAACTTGGACTTACTTAATACCGCTAACACTGTCGGTTACCACGAGAACATTCACGTGAGCATTCAGGATACCCCTAACCTTGAGCTCACCAAAAACACATACTACTCCCGCTTGCGGACGTTAATCCGGGGCATTGTCCACTTAGCAGTGGCAGGGTTGACGCCGCAAACCTCTAAAGGCTGTGAAGCATTCAGTGGGTGGCTGATTCAAGCGTTTACCATCAGGGCCGTCGGTGACGAGGGTCACGATATCACTCAGTTTGGCCGTATCGTCGACCAGACATTCCGTTCAGTGAACAACTTGCTAGAGAAGTTCCACCAGTCGTTCTTCTTCTACTTCTTGTTGCTGCGGCGGAACTTTGTGCTGATTGGTACCTACTTGCCGGCGGCGGTGTTTTTGGCAGTGGCGTACGCGCTTGCCCTGTTGGTAGCGTTGTTGGGGTCTCAAGTTCTGGTTGAGGCTTACTTCAGCCACATCACCACCACTCTCACCGGGTTCACTTCAATCATGGTGTTCTCGTGGACGATGAGTGTGGTGTTGCCCTGGATCGCTCAGAGCGGAGGCATTGTTGCCGCTCAGCTATTGTTGGTGGTGGGCATCATCAGTGGGGTGGTGTTGTCGTTGGCTCCGGTGACTCGGATGGTGCCGATCCTGATCTCACGTCCCACGCAATCGTCGATCATCGGTCTCTCCTTATTCTACATTTCGATGCTCATTACGGCGCTTTTGATCGTCCACTTTGCCCTTGCGTTGCTTGTGGGGCTTGTGGCATTACCCCTCATCTTCGTGGCCCCCATCATCAACCAAGGACCGTTGACCTCCAAGGATCGGATAAGAATTGCCTGTTGCTTGGCTGTTTCCAATCCATTCGTCGCCATTGGCGCTACCGGCTGGTTCACTGGTGAAGGCGGAGCGGTGCTCTTACGGGGCTTGTTAACAGCGTGGTCTGAGGTCCAATGCTGGACCTGGTACGTGGTGGTGCTTGGGTGGTTACCCGGTTGGTTGGGGATGGCATTGGCCGCAGCCGTGCCCACCCCCATCAAGAAGACCCGTCCCCAAGCCACTAAGGAAGTCAAGGAAGCTAAGGAGGCGAAGGAAGCTAAAAAGGTGAAGGCAGCATAACTACACTATACTTTAATAACACAATTATAGTAATTCACACTACAGCTGGACTCCGAAAATTTCGTAGCTCGTTCTCTCGCGTATTACTGTGATTTCCACGTTGGAGGAGTGTCGTTCCCATTCCACTTCCCGACTCGTCAACCGAGTCCCCTCATCACAGTCCTGGGTGAGGATGCGACAGCAGGTAAATGCTATTTGATAATGGCTACCAGCTGACGACAAATAGTTTGGACCTGTTTTAGCTTAGTTGGTGAATGCTCTTGGTCGACTACGCCTTGCAATAAAACCGTCACTAAACCGTATACGATGAATTCATTTTCATGGCATAGCACATAGACGATCGAGACAATCGCGAGGTGGGTGAGGGGAAGAGGTCAGGCATGCCTCGTTAGCCGGACAACGGTCTGTCACCAACCCTTCAGAAAATAAAACGTAGATGTCGCCACCTTGGGGTATAAGTACGGGTGGCGTCCTCCCCTAGAAATGGTGTCAATCATGATTCCCCGACTATGAATACCGAGTGGATCCAAAACTAAAAGGCGTGTGCTATGAGACTACCGCTGCCGAGACGAGAGCTATTATTTGCGTTGCATTGAGTTCATGATCGGAGTTGATGTTAGAACCAAACACTCGCTTGACGCCACTCGGGCTGGCTCCTGCCTGGTGAGGCTGAAATCTCGTGGCGAAAGTTAGGTGATGCCTGTGGTTGATGCTCGAACCACACAATTGCCTATTCGACGTCCTCATTGATCACAAATCTTCTCAATACTGCAATTTTCATAAACCCAAACTCAATCTATTTTTTTCATAATTATTTTTTTAGGGCAATCAACAATGCTAATACACAGACGCTTATGAATGGTAGTAGTTCTCGTGAGGGCGACAATTGCATAAAGATTCCATCAGCTTTTAATCAACTGATGAAGCAAATAGAAAATGATTTTGGTTACTTTCAGCCTATTCATTTTCTTAAATATCTATGGTACTCGGTACTCGGGTACTCGGTGGTGCTCACGTGAGACAACCCCGCGATTATACTAGAGACCATCCACCTCCACTCCAGATCCCGCAAATGCTAGCCTTCCGGACCCAGGGCTATAACGGCTACGGCGTTCAGTACCTGCCCTTTTTCGACGATAAGCTTGCCGTGGCCACCGCGGCGAACTACGGGCTCGTGGGGAACGGACGCCTCTACATCCTACAGATTGACCCGCTGGGCAATATCATCTCCCCGATCCTGTGGGAGACTCAGGACGGACTTTTTGACGTTGCCTGGAGTGAATTAAACGAAAACCAGGTAGCGGTGGCCAGTGGTGACGGCCTGATTAAGTTGTTCGACGCTACCGTGGCGCAATTCCCGGTGATGAACTACCACGAACACACGCGAGAAGTGTTCAGCGTCAATTGGAACATGAGGGATAAACAGATGTTCTCTCTGGCATCGTGGGACGGGCTGATAAAAGTGTGGTCCGCTGACCGTGTCCAATCGTTGGTGACATTGCAACTGGCGATGCCACAAGGTCCCCCTGGTCCTGCCGGTCCTGTGGGGGTGAACACCGCTACCGCTCAGCTGTCAGTACCCATGAGCCATCAAAAACAGCACCAGGGCACTGCAAACCCTAGTCAGTGCGTATACACTGCCATTTTCTCCCCCCACCAGCCGCAAGTGCTCATGTCGTGCAACGGTGGTCTGAAAGTGCAAATATGGGACATCCGTGCTCCCCAACCGCTCCAGCAAGAATTTATTGCCCACAATGGCATGGAGGCTCTTTCCTGCGATTGGAACAAGTACCGGCCTACAGTGATTTGTCTGGGAGGCACTGACAAGGCGGTGAGAGTATGGGACTTGCGGATGGTGGGCGCCGGCCAGGCGAATATCCGGGGCCCTACTCCCGTAAACGAGTTCATTGGCCACCAGTTTGCCGTGAGAAAGTGTCAGTGGAGCCCCCACGACGGGCACGAGTTGGTGCTGGTGTCGTACGACATGACGGCACGGGTGTGGCGTGACGAGAGCGACCTGGGGCGCCTGTTCAACGGCGGGGCGCTTGGGGTGATGGGCAAGCACCGCGAGTTTGTCATTGGTTGCGACTACAGCTTATGGGGCCAGCCGGGGTGGGTCGCCACCACGGGGTGGGACGAGATGGTGTACGTGTGGGACTCACATAGACTTTAAGCTTTGGCACTCCAAAGCATCAAATACACACACACCACGACGAATACGAGTTGTAATTTCTACAACAACTGACACATTCTGTTACTACTGACACATTCCTCAAGCACTGCTGACACATTCTCCAGTTAACGACTAAGCGCCTGGCGATGATCTTCGATGATGCCGACAGCCGATAGCTGAGAGAAGAACTGTTTGTGTCCTGGACGAGGAATACGAAGCAGCCATTAATATCGTTCTTGTGGTGGCATCGAAGAATTGTTGGTGAATTTGTTCTTGTTGCCGCCTCTGGACGTTAGTGTCCGCCTGAGCCCAATGCTGAAGGCCATGCAATCGCATTAGGAATAGAGCAAAGGCGGTCTTCAAACATCAGTGGTGGTACAAATCTATAGCACAGAATATTTCGCCTCAAAACGCAGACGTCCGCCTTTATTTGTTTTTCGAGATTGAACACAAGGCGGTGGGTGAATAGGAAATTGAACCCTGATGGGAGTATCGTATAATTGTTGGTATTACATTATAGAAAATTTGCGTATACAGCGGCGGCTACGCGTTGCGGGCGGCCCACTGCTGGTACAAGTTGGAGCCGACATCGCGCCAGTCGATGTTGGCGTGCTGGACGTACTGCCACCCTTGGTTCACCATGTCCTGGACGTCGTCGAACGACACCTCGTCGGGGTTTTCCATGCGGTCTCTGACTTGTTCAAGGTAGTCGACGACCTCTTCGTCCGAGACGGGGTTAGCGTCGCCGTCGGTGTGGCGAGGTATGGAGGCAAGGAACGACCCCGCCCGGGCGACGTTGGAAAACTGCGACTGGGACATCGTCCACCACAGCAGCACCATGGGGATATCGTTGTTGAGCAAGCGGTCAGGCCCGCGCAAGTAGAGAAGTACCAAGGCAATCAACGTGACATTGATGGCGAAGAACTTGAGCGCCATCACCATGAACCCGATCCAGATGGAGACGAAGCGGCGGCCCATCTTGTAGGCGGTATAGATGCCAGCGATGGCAAAGATGGCGTTGAGGGCGCCAGGGTAGTTGTGGGAGAGCCAGAGGAGCACGGTGAGCAGCAGCCGGAACACGACGCCGAACACGCTCAGCGCCAAGTTGAACACGTAGCCGAGTACTGTGGAAACGTCCATGGCCAGGGAACAACGATCAAGGGAGAACGGCGAAACAGGTACAGAGATACGTGGAGGGTATCGATGGCGGCGGCGGCGTGCTGTGCCTTTCGCTGACAGCTGGGGGGCGCGCGTGCGGGGGAAGCAGGGCACCGTAACTCGCCGACGGCCACCGATCGAACAAAGCATCGGCAAGGGTTAAGTTACCCTTCCGTCGGCGAAGGCAGAGGCGGGTGCCGATTCAGGGACAGAGAATAAGGTTTGCAAACAAGGTTGGGGCAATTAGGTTGGCAAGCGAACGCCGAGAGCGACGCGTCACCGAGTCGAGCGCGTTCCCATGTAGAAATTATGACAGAGAACGTAAGCGGCGGCAACTAAGAGTAATTGGATTGGTATGGTTGTTGTTGAAAACATTAGGTGTATTGTTGACGGAAGCAGTGGTTTTTCCGAAGCCGGCGGCTGCCTAGTAAAGCGGTGTCGCTGATGTTTTGGGAAGCCTCATGGCGGAAGAACACAGGTTCCGGGATCCGCGTCGCTCATCATAACACTGTGCTGCAAATTGCCAGCACCGCGCTACCAATTGGGGTTCTCGCACCCGCACTTGGGGGCTACGTCCGGGTAAGTGGCATCGGCGGCGACGATAAAAAGCTCGCGCGAGAAAAGTTTGATCTTCATTGATAGAAATTTGCACCGGCCGATTTGGCAGGGGTAGAGACAGGGGACGCTGGCGCCCGAACTCGCCGGGCTGTCTATTAAATTAGAAGCCGGGCCGGGCGTGCCAGCGGCCTGCTGGTGGTACCCATTGTTGAAAACGGCCGGGAGATTGAACTGTGGCTTATTAAGTGTATTTCGAGGGCTTTGAATACCCCCTCCTAGTATCCCGTAAAGTCACGACATCTGCCTCTATCGTAGTCACCGTCGCAAACGGACGAGCAGCAACTGAATGCTCGCGGCACGGCTGAGTGAGGGGCGGGCGAGGCTGACACTGATCCGTTCAGGGCGCCTGGCCTCTCACCCGCCACCTAGCGTCCAGTAGGGTCAGATCATGTTCACCTAGAAAACGTGGTAGACAACCCAGTAAATGACTGGCATGGTTTATGAGCGCACCGGATTCCCGAGGAGCACCAGATCACGTCGCCAATGGCTTATCGCTCGTTGCTGTGGGACAAACGCGGCCTGACGATGAGCGAATGGTTACGAAGCAGATAACGGAACGGCAATGAGGAACTTGTTCCTCGAGTAGCATTTGCTAGTTAAAACGATCTAAAACTTTACTTGTTTTATGACGATTTCATTTTCTGGAATTTCCCATTGTTATTATATGGCTTCTCTGCTAGCCGGGCCTCCCACGCATTTGCTTCGCTGGGTTCGCCTCCGCGCCCGGTTGATCCCCAGCCATTGGTGGGCCATTGCCGGCCTAGCCGCGTGCTTAGCAAAACTAAAACACACTAGTTTCCGAACCACCTAACTTCTGACCCCCAAAATCACCATCTACCACTCCATCCTCGCCATGGATCACAGCCATAACACCCTCGTGCCGCACTTCGCATTTTGCAACCAGCTCACCGTCGACGACCCACCCACCACCGCAATGTTCCGCAAACAGCCCCCAACCCTCCTGGCGTTGGAGGAGCTCCAGCAGACATACACTGACGTGTGCAACTACCTGATCCAGAACCTCACCTACGAGGAGCTGGGCGACGTCACCCAGGCGCTCAAAGGGTGGAAACTGCTCCACACCCTGACCCTCTACAAACTCGAGTTGTTCGACCGCATGAAGTTGCAGCCGGAGGAGGAGCAGATCTTGGACCAGCTCAAGCAGATCAGAGACGAAAACGTCAAGCATTTGATCCGGGTCCAGCTCCGAGCGGACGAGCTGGCTCGCAGGCACCTGGCGGAGGGAACAGCGCCGCCAGCGCCACCACACAAGTCGTCTCCGATGGCGATCCCCGGAGCATCCCTGGTACCGCTGGCTCCAGCGCAGCACACATCAGCCCTGGCGCCGCGACCCCGAAAACATCTCATGAGACTGTTGCGGGCGCCTGCCCTCGGCACGACGCTGAGCCTGCTGCTGGGTCAACTGGGACTGCTGGGACTGGCGCCGGCAGCGCCTGGGCTGCGAAGAAAGTACAAACAGGCACTGGAGGCGGCGTTGGCCATCTGGCTGCGCCCCGTGAAGACTGACCCCTTTGCCGACTTTGACCAGCACGAATACGTCGAAACCACCGGTAACAATAACGACAATGCCAACCTCATCGACGTCGATAATGAATTGACGCCGCAGTTCGACCAACTAAAGCCGTTCAAGCTGGCGATGGAGGCGCTGCGAGCGCTGCCGCTGCCACCACCGATCCCTCCACAAGCACCCGCAGCACTGTCACCACGAACCTACGTCTACAATAAGCCCAAGCCAATCAACGTGAAGAAGATCATGCAGCAGACATCCCAATACCGTCGAACTACGCCGTCTTCAACGTCACCGGCCCCAACGGCGCAGCCAGCGAAGCGCCCGCAAATGAAACCGAAAGCGCAGCTGGTGACGCTGTCGACCCCAGCCACCGGCAACAATTCCGCTGCTG